CACGATTTCTTGCGTTTAGGATTCTCAAAATATATCCATTTCTCATCGCCAGTTACAATCCGATGCAGAAACGACTTTCTTTTTTGTCTGGCGAGCAAGATTTCGCATGTGTTTTGGCGTCGCTCCATCTGCCTATCGTTCAATTCATGCGGCACCCATTTTCCGATCTTCTGAATCTTTCCCATGGCACGTAGACGCATGGAAATGGCTGGTTAAGTAACACCCAATTGCTCGGCAAGCATTTTTTGCAATTGGGTATCGTCCTCATCCAAAAGAGCCTGCAGTTGATGGTCCTCAACCTTCCTGGGCCGATTTTCACGCTTCTTGTCGCTCAGGTAAAAATTTCCATCTTTGAACTGACGAAACCAATCTCTGCACGTGGTTTCCGATAAAGCTCTGTCGCCATAAGCCTCCACAAGCATTCGATGTACTTCGGCAGCCGATTTCTTCAAATTAAAGCAGAAAAGCAAAGCTTCCCGCATATGCTCTTTTTCTGGCACGAAAGTAGACATGATTACAAAGAAAAAAATATATGTTGTTTTATGAAATATCTGATGATGTGCACTGATTAATGTTGACAGACGTCAAAATCATTAAAAAACCAACATGGCGTCGTCATGGTAACTTAATACGCTCGCTTACGCCATCTATTAGCAAACAGCGGATTTAAGCTTATACCCCTGGTACATATGGTTGATAAAATAATGTAATGATTGGTATGGATGCTGTGTATTATTCCTTAGCACAATTTAATTAATTAATTAATTAATAGGGTTGTTTGAGAATATGCATTCTGTAATTGGGTTGCAATTTGAAAAAATTATAGACCTATAAAGTTGGCCAGTCCTTCCTTAATCTCAATAACAATGCTAGATAGATAAAAGTCAAGACCAGATATGGAAAGCTTATGCACAGGAGGCCCAATTAACTATATATGAACTTGCAGTCTAGACTGTAAGTACATGATTTCAATTCAAAAATTTCCCCTAAATAGAATTACATAAATGACCAGCATGACTCTTTTGTTATCAAGAAAAGTATAATGTACAGGGATAAGACACTACTAATTTCAGATCAAAAATACAGTAATATCTCAGTTTTCATTGAATTCAGTTATGGTCAGTTTTAGTTTTTGTAGATTTTTTCCATGAAAAATTTGTCTCAGTTTTTGTCTTTTGCCTCAGATTTCATCGGCGTACTCACATGACCTCGCTGCTAATTTTGTGACTAAAGAGTGACCCATGTGTTCTATTGCTCAGTGTGGCGTTGTTTCTCATTGTGTGGACAGTGGGAACAGTGGACTGTTCCGTGAAGCAGAGTGCAGTGTAAAAGTTGAGCTCCTGGATTTTTTGAGTTCTTGATGTCTTAAAGTGATTTTAATGCGATATTTTGTGTATTACCTGATTGATCTTTTTGTGGTGACTCTGTGGATATAAAAATTTTATTGTGGACCCATTTTTTTCTGAAATATGGTTTAACTAAAGTACAAAATTTACGGATCGACTTACCGGATGATTAAAGATCGATTTCCCGGAAATGATGACGTCAATGGAACCACTGACCTGTGGTGAGTAGGCCACCCAAGTTTGGTTGGAATTGGCCCATTAGTTTTTTGGATAATAAGGGTTACACTTGTGGAACTTAGAGGCCCACATCGGGTCAGTTTTCTTCCATCCCCCAATTAATTTGTGTTTATCGAACAGTAGACTTTTCTGGACACATCCTGTGAAAATTCTGTTTAGAAATCTGCTTTAGTTTTTAAGTGATTGTAGTTTTTATTTAAGAAGCTTGTTCTTACTGGACGTTTGAGTCATTGACCCCAACGGTCTCCAACGGCTTTTGACAACAGACTGCTCGGCGCCGGATTTTAACGGAATAGAAAGTGTTAACGTTTTATTAAGGTTGTATTTATTGGAACTTTAGATTTACTTTGCTGTTTAATTAAAATGTCTGAAAGTTTAGTTGAAGAATTTACGAGTCAATCAAATGATTTGTTGGACGACTTAAAGAGATATTGTACCAATAATTATAGTTGTAAGTTGGGCGCTAAGGATTCGGTTCGACATATTGCGAAACAGTTTACAGAGGTCATTAATTTGGCTGTTGAGAAAATAAAAAAAAGTTGCATGACTAATATTCTGGAGCAGACTCTCACTAAACTGGCTAGAAAAGATGATATCTTGGAGATTTCTAAAATACAAGAGGATAAATATGATGATAAACTTGAAAGCTTTAAAGATCAAATAGAGAAAATATTCACTGAAAACCTGGGTAAATTGAATTGTTCTCCTGTTCCTAGTTACAGTGATGTGGTGAAGAGAGCTACTAAAGATAACAAACCTACCCTGAAACCTAGAAAAAATAAACATACTTTACTTATCTATAACAACAATAACAAAGATAGTTCAGAGAAAACAAAAGAAATTCTTTTTAAAAGAACCTCTCCCATAGAGATGGGTGTGGGTATCAATAACATCAGAAGTATTAGAAATGGAGGTTTAGCAGTTAATGTTGAGAATGAGGAAGATCTACAAGTTCTACAATGTAACGTGAAATTGGTTCCTGAGTTAAGTAGTAAAATTGGGAAAAGTCGGCGCCCCCTTGTTAAAATAGTGAATGTTCCAATTACAATAAAGAGAGAAAATTTGGGCAAGTGCATTTATGAACAAAACGTCGAGCTTACTAATACTTATGAATTTAAGCAATTTGAAGAAGAGGTAGCCATCCGCTTTCAGATTAAACAAAGAGACCCTGAATTACAGTCCTGGGTGCTGGAGCTATCCCCTAAAATAAGAGGAATTCTTATGGAAAAAAGAAAAGTATTTATTGAGTGGAGCAGATGCTCAATTTTTGATTACATTCCTATTTATCAGTGCTTTAAGTGCCTTAAATTTGGTCACTTCGCCAATAAGTGTTCTTCCCAGAATTCTATTTGTAGCCATTGCGGTGGCTATCACCTTTTCAAAGATTGCAAAAATAAAGAGGAGGCACCAAAGTGCACTAATTGTATTGGAAAACATGTGAACACAACTGATCATAATGCCATGGACAAAAGCTGTCCAACTTATTGTAATTACAGAGCTTCTATTATTCCCAGATTATATTCTGTATGCTAATTGTAGTGTGCTGATCTAGTGTACAAACCTTCCTTGTCTAGTTTCTGCACGCGAAAAGTTTGTCGCGATTTCTTGATTTCCTTTTGGGATGAATGTTCTACACGCGAATAGTGTTGTTTATATTTTTTCACTCATTTGTTAATTATTTTATTGACTGTATTTTATTTATATTCAACAATCTTTTGCAGCTCACAAAGTGGATCTGCGTCATTAAGTATACCATTAACATTGTTATTGCTTTTAGGCACAGGTGTTGCCTGCTTCCCACAGTTTCCTACACACGATTTGTGTGTATGTTGATTCTCTGTGGGTTTGTAATTTATGTATATTCAATTATATTGTTCACTCTCTTTTCTCCTTCATATATTTAATTGTATTGAAATTTTATCTGTAATTGTAATATTTATCTGTATATCTACCCTGATAATGCTACATGCGGGGTCAGGGATGTACTATTGTACTTAAATAAAGAATGAATGAATGAATAAATGAATGAATTGATTTGATTATAGAACGATTGTAAACGTTCCAGAAATGTTGAAAATAGTTCGTTTGACTAAACGTAAAAATTCTCTAATTAGTCTGGAAACGGGGGACCTAATTCTTGCATTCTGTGAAAACGGGTAAGATTAGCTATAATGTAATTATCTTAATCTTCACTATCGTTACTTTTTCCCAGCGAAGCGGGTCCTTGCAGCTAGATTCTAGATTACTTAGAAAAACAGTTTTTTTTATATATAAAAAAAACTATATTACATACAAATAAAAACCCAGCGAAGCGGGTCCTTGCAGCTAGTTTATATATAAAAATAATTTTTAAAATATTAAAATAAACCAAACAAACTTTTTTTTTTCAAACAAACTACTGGATTATATCAGGCTAGAATATGGCTACTATTAATAAATATAAAATTCTTTGTAATTTTGCTTAGAGGTAGGCAGTTATGCCACCATCTCTTGATAAATTGAAATAGTAGCTTTATCCTAATCAATATAATCTGGCAGTTCACTTGGTATTTGTCAAATAATCAGATTACTAGTTGTTTATATTTACATTAAAATACTTAGAAAAGACAATAGAAAATACATAGTAAATTTTAGTTTTCTTTTTTTTATTTAATAATGAAGCTAATTATATTCACCTTCGCTATTGGTAACAATAACACCGACTACTCCTTTATGAGACTGAATTCTTTTTAATGTTTCTTCAACTTCAGACTATAAAATTAAAATAATAATATAATACATATTGGCTTATGAAAGTCTGAAAGTAAAACATACTTAATTAGAATAATTTTTATATGTATATAAATTAGATTCAACACTAAAGTTAAATCAGTCATCTTAAAGATCAACTGTATGATCTCTAATAAATTTTGTATCAAATTAGAGGTAATTTGCTTGTCAAATCATTTGTAATCAAACAAGTAATTGAATAACTGAAGGGATAAACGAATCCAAATCCTGTTGCTCTGGAAGGCTTGGGTAAAAATTAAGATCATATACTCAAAAATTCTCCTAGCTATGCCAACCAGGATGTCAGCCCTACTCCAGAATTTGATTATATCAAGGAAAAACAAAAATGAGTTATACATTCAGATGCTTTTGTACAGTTTAATATTTGTTGTTCTTCTATAACAGTAGTTTAACTATAGATAATACTAAGTTCAGATATTTTACTTCCAAAGAGAAAACTAACATTTTTCTGCATTATTTAATTATACAGTACTTATTTTAATTTAAAGGTAAATTATTCATTAAGTTATCTTCAAACTGCAAAAGTAACAGCACCAAAATTCTGATTTCTATTTCTAATCAATAATTCACAGAATGAGTACTTTAGCAATACAGTATTCCACATACAACATTGTATGGCAACAAAAAAGAACTTTATTAAGCAAAAAAACTAACATTTTTGGTCATCTTTAATGATCTTTGTCTGTTTAATGTTAAAAAATTGAATGCTTCCCTAATGTAAATGTCAAATGCAGTTAAAATACAAAAAATTTTACATTTATGACATGGGATTGACTTTATCCAATTGGTTAAAGTAAGTCAATCCCGTGTCATATATTCAACCCGGTCTGTGGTGAAGTTAAGTAAAAATTTTACAATTTACAAAATCACTGTGATTGGTTAAAATAATACCAACATATACATACATACATGTGAAAGAAAAGGCTGTACTCAAAGGTGTAGCCTTAAAAAATAAGAAAGATGGGTGAAGGAAGTTAGGAGGGTGGGATGGTTGGAGGTTTGAAAGTGGAAAAAGAAGGACATGAGCCGCAAAGGGGAGCTGTTGGATAGACTTGATCTCAAAATAGGATCACCAAGCTTTAGATAGTGCTTTGGTTCTTGGGTTAAAGTGTACTGTACCTAGGTAACCCCAATGGCGGCACTTCAGTTAGGTATATTTTTAGTAGACTTTTGCTTTTTTTTAATTTTGATCAAGAACTACTGTGAATCAATAACTAGTGACATTTAACACTCGGCGGCTCCCCTCCGGGAGGAGTCCGTCGGGAGCACGAACAGTCGGAAGTGCCACCATTGGGGTTACCTAGGTGCACTTTAACCTGTCCTTGTAATTGACATACTTCCACTTCAGGTTTCAAGGGTCTCAGTGTTTGAGGTTATGCTCATATGCTTGGTAATACAGTTAAACGTCTTTAATTCAAATTCTACAAATTCCCCTTGAGTTTCCTAATAAATATAATGTAAAAATTAACTGTTTAAATGATAGAATCAATGCTTCATATATAAAGTTGTCAGGTTTCGAGTTCTTCACTTCCATTGCGTCACAGGACTTTATCCAATACCAAGATGCAACGCAAAATGCATTACGGGGTTTTATCCAATAGCAAGATGCAATACAAAATAAATGCCAGAAGGAGCCACGGCATTTCTTCGAATGAATAAGAACGAGTCATTTGTCAATACATCAAAGCATTTTTAACTACGAAATGGCTTTATATATTAAAAAAATAACTGCTACTTTCATTAATAATTCGAAAAATTCATTTCATTTACAAAATATCCAATTATTTAAGTAAACAAATCGATATTAAATAGACCTACCGTCATCTTTATTTTGACTGATATAAACGTCTGATTACTGTATATTTCCGAGGAAAAAATCGCCAAAAATTATTATTATTATGACTAAATTCATATTTTAATAAAAATTAATTTTTAAATTTTAATAAAAATAAATAACTTAATAATAATATTTTATTAAAAATATTACGAACAAAAATTGCATTTTTACAGTTTTTTAACTACTACGTCGCCAGCGATAATTCTGGTATCGAAAATTGTCAATATTTACATTTTAATTTTAATAAAATTAATTAATTCTATAATAACTTAATAATAAAATTTTTCTTTAATTAAGAAAATAAAACAAAAATATTTCGTTTTCGCAAACTTCGTCCGCTAGGTGGATGTGGTAAAGTAAATACGTCACGGGTGATATCTGTCGTTTCGATCGTCTGTCGATATTTACGTTTTAAATGGAATAAACGGGATTAATATACTTGATGTATTATCATATAATCTCTATTAAAGTATGACAGAATCGTACGGTAGGTATAACATTGGATTAAGCTGTCGTTAATTAATTATTAAGATATATTAAGTTACCATTATGAAAGTATACAGATGTATAAGAGCTGTAAAGTCATGCTTATGCATATTTATAAGTAATTCTTCATACATGTACACACATTCTATACAATTTATACTGCGTTAGTCTACTTTTCATGCAGTCGAAGACAATTTATTAATAAATAATCCACATCAATGGACTTTTAACCTGTTTAAGTTGATGTGGATTGTTTACAGCATTTAAAAGTCAATACACTCTTCATTACATGTAAATATCAAGTGACTTTCAAACATTATTGCGTTAATTAATCCTTACATCACTCCACAAAGGATAATAAATGTTAAATATTTCATTGTTATAACTTGTATAACCAAGGTCAAGTGATTACGCTTCCACTAAGATTTATAAATGAAATTTTATTGCACATTTAATCAAGGCTGTTTGTTGCGAAGGGACGTCTCTGTCGATCTGTGTATACGTGGGGAGGCCGATGACGACGAGTGAGAATAATTAAATTCTGTTTCCTCTACGTTTTCTTAGATGACGGTATCGTCGTAAGAATGGTTTCCATTTGTCGGGTTTTGAGTGAATGTACAGACTTAGGTGTATTGGTTATATAAGGTGTACTCGCTTCAACTTTGTATTAGGAGTATGGTCAATTTGCTGTTACAAAAATATTGTGGTATATTCCTCCATTTGTTATGTATGTGGATATGCTCGTATCTTTCTGATTCTGCTATCTCTTTCTTTTTATATAATTCTGATAAACATATGATAATCTAATTTAATAATGCATCGAATTGAGTTTCATTCATATGCGTAATATATTATTACATAAAAAGTATGAGAAATTTCTGTAAATTGAGAGAAGTTAAGTAATTAATTAAAAAGACTAATGCTGTATTATTAATTTAAAGTAGATGTAGAATTTAAATTTTGGAATGGTTTAAACAGTATTATGATAGCGTATTTGCCTGCCTAATCTTTTGTCGCAATTTTAATCTGCTGATCTCGTACAAATAAGGAAAAACTGTCAGGAATTATCGTAGGAGTTAGTATATAAATTTTAAATTTTGATTTTAGAAAATATATATGCTTATTTAATTAAATAAAATGACTTTATATATTTTGTTTAAACATTTTAAAATAGGCTAATCATTTCTTTTATGAAATACTATTGTAATTAAAGGCCATATACAAGGTACGATATGAAAAAAAATTAAATTGGTTGTTAATTAAGTGTTTACAAGCTTACATGTAATATATTTAAAAAGATATTAATAAAATATTTAAATATAAATTTTAAAAGTTCGTATTTTATTAACTTGTATATTTTTATCCAAAAGTTGAAAATATCCCTCCAAATAATAATAGTGGAAGTATTTCGGAATAAAAATTTCTTGCAACATTCGTCAAACTTCATACATAGATACACCTGAATAATTTGATTGATATCTGTTTAGTCTGGGGCTAAAATTTACATATGGACTTAAAACATCTGATATTATTTTCATTTGTTATATTTCATTTTTGTGTTTACATATATAAATAACCTTCGATTTTTCTTCAATAATAAATTATTATTATTATTATTATATTTTTCTATCTTATTTACTTTTTAGGAATGTGTAAAGTAAATGAGCATCTAATCATTAAGTAAATATAAAAAGTTAATTTGATGTTTAGAAATGCTCTGTTTATATAGTACAGTGTGTGTATATGCATATCATCTGATACAGAGCTAATGATGATATGCATAAAAATAACTGTTAAATTTATTAATTATTTTTTGTATTATCTAAATAGACTTTAAGCACTATATTACCTTACAAAGATATAAAAATGTTAAATAAATTTTACATTTACTGTAATGTTGACATACATAAAATTATTCCTAATTAAATTCTATTAAAATATTATTTGTGTGTATTATTTAAAACATGAAATTAATATTTGATTAGTCTTTATTTTGTTCTAAAATTAAATTGATGAATTGCTATGCATAGAAGAGTCGGATAACTTCTTATCCATGTTAGTTAGAAATTATATGTATGCACTCTTTTATTCTCTGCACAAATTTGAATTGTTTCCATGCTCTAGAGTCTTTCATGTTGATTGGAAATTATTAAAGCAGTTTGTTATGATGGCTTTTAGATCTCTAACTATACAATATATTATAACAACAACTCATAATCCAATTTAATTAATTAACTCCAAATGATCTGTTGAATTATTGGGTTATGTTAATATCATAAAGAAAATTATACATTTGTTAATTCTGTATTTTGAGGGGGTTGTGCTGTGTTCATTTCACATCTAGTTTATCAAATATTCTAACTAGGAGCTGTGTACAATGATATACTTTAGGTAAATCCCCATTCCTTTAATTATGTGCGCAGTAACTCATGGGACCCCTTGATTTTGAAGAAATGACTTAAAAATGTTATGCAAAAATTTTGTAACTTATAGTTTATTCACGTAGCTAGTAAGCAGGATTACAAGAACAAATTTGTATGCTACACACGTCCATATAAACAATGTCTTGGTTTCCTCTTTTCCTTTGTGTACAGTGACATACTTTTTGTGATTCTCCTTTTCCTTTAAACTACACACGAAATTAATTGATGGCCCTATATGTGAAAGTTTTATTGTTTAATAAACTTTACATTTGCTTTTGTTGTTAAATTATGTCAATTAGATATGTTACAGTTTCATTTATATTTAATTATTTTGTTAATGTGATAATTGACTTTCATATTTAATCTGTTTACATTAAAATATTTATTAATTATAATTTTTGGAGGATTTCTCATACAAGTTTTGTACATCATAATTTTTCCTTTTGCTGCTATTTTAATAAATCTTAGAAATAATTTTATTGAAATTGAATATTAATATGAATTTAAATGAGTATTATCTCTTAGATAATGCAATTAATAAATCTTTAAATTAATATCATTGTCTTAGATACAACAACAATCAATAAGTATCGGTAATTTAATATCTTCTAAAAATATGATTAAGAAAATTTCTTAATGAATAACTAATAATGCAATTATCACTTTGATAAATGTCATGAAAATTATTGTTTTTTAGAATGTAAAGATAGTTTTGTTGTTAATTTAGAAGAAAAATAATTTACTCTGCAAAACTAAAGCTTAGTTGGAATTACGAGATGGGCAAAATAGATAGAAACTATTAATATTAATATGTATTTTTATAGTTATGCCATCAGCAAACAAAAATTTATTTTACATATCGATGCAGACAAGCCTACAACAATACATTGACTCCATCATAAGACTTTTATTCTTAAAATGTGACATGGACGAAAAATGAAGAATTTTGTATTTCAATTATTTCTGCAGTTTTTTTTAATATCTATTTCTTTCCTTTTCTTTTATGTGCTCTTAAAGAGATATTATGTCCATTTTGGGTTTTATTTGGCCCACAATGAGACTGTTGAGTGACGAGTAAAAGACTAAACATATTGTCTACGAAAATTTGAAGGTTCAAATCCAATTTTCTTGAAGCTTCAGACTGAGCCTTCACTGTCTTGGCTAAGAGAATAAATTCATTTATATATAATACAATAAATTTGTTAATTTCTTTATTTAAACAAAATGTAATTTTTTAACTTCTTTAATTAATCATTTACATATAATGAATATATTAATTTTGACTTTAAAAAACAATTACAATAGTGTAATTGTTCTGAAAGAATCAAAGAAAAAAGTTAATTATATTCTAGAATTAGTGAGTAACCTTTCAGAAAACTTAAAAACAATTGTCATGTAGAGTTAATTATTTTAGCAGTTTAATTCTCGATTGTTTTGAGGAAAAGTAATTCTTTGATCAGAAATACAGGGTCATCCAAATACAGTTCTATTTTAAACTATAATTAATAATTATGCTAATTATTATTTATTTTGGTAACCACTAAAAAGGGGTTTATAGACAAATAAATTCGTTATGTCTTTCTAATCTGACATTCACCAGAGGTCAAGAATCACTCAGAAGACAATTTTAATTCACAGATCTTTTATTTATATGCATTTCAGATCAGAGTTTGTATCAATCCTATTCAGCATAAGTGTATTCTGTTACAGAGTTAATTTCTCTTAGTATTTTACATCAATTGCAGTAGCAGTCCTGATTGCACGGTTGTTACTTGACCCTCTGATAAACATTGGATTAGAACGACATAAGAAATTTGTTTGTCTTTTTTCTATAAAAATATGCACATTTCCTGTAAATTAAAAACTGTTCTTGTTAATGAATACATTTCTTTGAGAGTGTCAACTCTGAATCCATAATGCACACCCCGCTTTTTAGTGATTATCAAAATGAGTATTATATCCGGCAGATATTGCTGATTTTAGCTTTAAGTTAAATGTTAATTATTATCTAAGACTGTCTCAATGTATAGTAAAACATTAAAAAAGTGTACAAGTTGTCACATTTGCCCATTACAATTTCTGATGTGTACACCTCACATCACATAGACACATCCTACTGATAACCAGATACTTCCTACACTTGCTACAACATATCTGAAGTCCGTGGTAACCATGGCAACCACAATTCTAGTGTCTGCAGATTATATACATTGCATAAGTGATTCTGACTTTGTGAGCTACAGAATGCAAAACACCTCTGTTGTGGAGTTGCCATTTTTGTTTACAACATTTCTTAGAGGTAGTAGACAAGATATTTGTAGATGTGAGATGAAACTTGGACAGTTACTTATCGATTGGTGTATGTTACATACCTGTCGGATAATAATTAACATAATTATAGTAACTTAAAATGGTAGCATTTATTTTGTCTTTTAATAATGTTGATAGTAGTGTATTTACCATTTAATAGAAACATATTCTTGAATATCCACTTAATTTAAACACTGTAATTTTCTGTTTGCTCCAGTTAAAATAATCTCTTGCAGCTATTATGAGTTTCTGTATAAAAGGTTTTAAC